ACCGGACGTTTCTTAAATAAAAGTAGTGTTTTTATTAAAATAAATAAATAAATAAATAAAAATAGTGCAAAAGATTTGCTTCGGATTAGCTGGTATTACAGTTTGATACAAAAAGTTATTTAAATTAGTATTTTCAATTTGCTATTGATGTGGATCCTAATCACTATTCACTAGTTCCAAATTACTAAATAATTTTTTTTTTATCAAACATCTTATTTGTAGTAATTTCAAAATATATAAGTTTACCAAATACTTATATTAACGGTTTAGGCAAAATTACTAACTGGTACTCCAAAACTACTATATTAAATGAGTCCTAAATTGAGCTTAATATTTGTATAGGCTTTAGAGAATGTTTGCTAGCAGGACCAGAAAATAAATTACACAAATGAAATAATAAATAATGTTAAGTTACAGTTAACATAAAAAAAAAATTTGTTAAGTTACAGTTAATGGCAGTTGAATTTCTTTTTATTTAAAGGAATATTCTTAAAAGAGAGAACAGTAAAAATTCCATCCCCCTATTATTTCTTCTTTAATTAGAAATAACGAAAATGACTTTGAAGTAATATTCTAACTAACAAGTTGCTTTTCAAGGCTCCAAATAAAATTTGAATTATATATTATTACTACTTAATAGTAAACAACAATTCTCATTTAAATTTATAACTTATTGAGACTTTGATATGTCATCTTTTAAAATATTCTTGTTTTGAAAATTTAGATTTTCAACCAATCAAGGGCTGTCTTTGTTAATTAAGGAAATGGAGAGGAAGGACAAATGAATGTGAAAATTCCTAATTATAACGTAATGAGACTATAGAAGAATGGGTCAAGAACTCAGAGCCACATAATATGATCTAAAAAATTGGGCATCAAATCAAATAAGGTGTCTGTGTCTAAAATCTTGTCCTTCTTCGTGAATATCCTCCCAAAGTTAGAGGTAGCATTTTTTTTTTTTATGGAAACCAACGGCACCATCGTCAAACTTGTGAAGCTGAAATGCACCTATTTGGCCTACTCAAAGTATTTGGGGCATGTTTGGTAGGTTTAGACTTTCATTGTTTCCTCACATGTTCATGTCAATCTCATTTCTCAGTCTCAGCATGGTACCCACCCACTTTAAACATAACCCACATGCATGCAATGCAATTGGATTGACTTGAACCAATAGAGCTAGCATCTTTCATCAATAGTTCGATTTCGATTGTCCTCTTGGCACGGCATATGGCATATGGCCACCAGGACCAACCTCAAGGATTGGGTTCGAGCTGACCCACATGGGCCTGGCTCCTTTCTTTTCTTTTTTTTTCGCCATCAATTATGTCCAATACGTGGGCCTATTTTAGCTTTTTAGACAAAAGTCACCAAACTTGTTTTTGTTTTTTTTGGGCTTAGAATATATTTGGTTTAAAAAACCAAATGGAAGAGAAGGCAAGAGAGCATAGAGAGGATCTTGTTGACTAATGCACTGATTCCCTTACTTTTTTTTCTTTTTTTTAATGATTGAGGTATTTTCGAGTTAACTTTTGTGTTTTTTTGAAACTAATTTCTCTTTAGGCCATCTTAAGGACATTGCATGCTTTATATCAATTTAATACACTTAAAAAAATTAATTTATTAAGTACTAATCCTAAGATTTGAATATTAAATTTAACCTATAAAACCACACTTAATGATGGATTCAACTCTTGGACTTCCATTTCCCTCACTTTATTAGCTAAAATGGTATTGGGTTATGAGGGATTGAAGTTGCAGGCCTAAAAAGTTCTAGCTAAGGGTGAGCATGGACAGGCATGGGTCAAGTATTTACTCATACTCGTACTTTATTTTTTTTTTTAACATATTTTACAAAGAGTGGGTTTCGAACCTTACTCGAAAAAAGGAGAATACACCGGTGGTTAATGTCATTAGATCTCAAGAATCAGGTGCATACTCGTACTTGATTTGAATAGTAACAAATATAAGATTTTAATATTTATTATTTTTCTGGGTATTGAAATTTTATACCCATTACTTAATTTATTAGATACAAGTATACTTATATATTTATTAAATTTTACATTAAAAATATATAAATTAATGTACAACTATAAATTTATATTAAAAAAAAAGACTGTACCATTGATCCCCATTTACCGAAAAAAAAAAAGACTGTAACTTTGTCCTGGTCTAGTATGGCCGCACTCATTAACTTATGACAGGGGGCAACGTGGAATTGGAAAATGTCATTATCTTCGTACCTGAAGCTCCATATGACTTTCTTCCCAAGCCTAAGGGTATTTTCGTTTAATTTTTAATTGCTTGATGTTATTTATATTTTATAAATTTAAATATTTTTTATAAATTTATATTTTTAAATTTTTTTTAACTTTAAAAATATTTCAAATAATAAAAACTATAGATACAAATCATCTTCTATGTTAGTGACCAACATCTACCTACAGGTCTTAACTTACAATTTGAGCATGCTGCCTTAGTAATTAGGTATGATTCAACCATTCGTTTGGATCACTGTATCAAAAACTTATGATGCCACTTAACATCTTTTTCCCTTTTTATGATCAGTGATGCCTAGACAAATTGCTCAAGTATAGAACACACTAAACTTATTATTATTATTATTATTATTATTATTATTATTATTATTATTATTATTATGATTAT